CGCACTAACGCCTTATTTTCCTAAAATAATAGTTTTGAATGTATTACAGGTATAGGATATCCCAGAAAAATTAAAAATCAATTATATTTATTTTTGATTCCAATAATAGTTATAATAGTTAACAATATTACTTAACATTCCAGGAAAAAATGTTATCACTTTATTAGTAGAGAGAAGGGAGTTCGATTTAAAAATTAAATTTAATAAAAATAAATTATGATTTATGACTTATGACCAGGGCTCGTAACTTCATGCACTAAAAAATGCATAAATAAGCATGCATTCATGCACTAAAAGTTGTCAAAATATGCATTAAAATATGCACTTAAAAGTTCGAAAATATGCATTTATATCAATATGCCTTCACATTTTTAAATTATAAACTCAAAATATGCATTATGTAAAAAAAACATGACCAAATTTTAAAGTTAGAATAAATCCATATTTTTTAAAAGTATTTTATTCCTTTTTATTTTTATATATTTAACAGTCAAAATTAATAAAATAAAAAATAAAATTAATACTTGTGAAGTTCAAATAGCTTTGTCATCTTTATAAATTTTAATTAGGTAGTCATTTTTGTCTAATTTGTGTACACCCTTATTCAGCAAAAATAATGAAAACATTTGGAATTAAATATTAGATTTTTCATTTTGAGATAATTTAGTTATATATATTTTATAAGTGTATTTTTTATGTTTTCCAACTTAAGAGGGCGCACTAGTAGACAAAATATGGCATAAATCCATGGTTTCGTAATTCAAGTAATACGGCTTATTGAAGTGGCTTACAGTAAAAATACCTATTATAAAAATTGTAGAGTAGAACTTTTTTTACAATTGTAAGAAGCCCGATTTTCGATATTTTTATTAATTAGCTAAATAATTAATCAATAAAAAATTTAAAAAACCGTTATAATTTACCATGCGATATTGGACGATTGGAACAAGATATCAAAAATCGGAAAAAACTTTTCAAATATTTGTCTAAAAAATATTTTTATGAAATAATATGCACTAACGACTGTAAAAAATCAACTATATGCCAAATATGACTTTACACCCAAAACATGCAAAAACATGCACTATCAAACTTCATATTATTATTACTATTTTTATGAAACGGATTTGTATCTCAGTTAGCATGTTTTCCTATGTAGCAAAAAAAACATGCAGATGCATGAACTTACGAGCCCTGCTTATGACTATATAGCAATATAGGTGAGATGATTGTACCATTTGTACATAATACTAAAATAGGTCATTATCACTGGGTCTATGATTGTAAAATTTAATATACATAATAATAATTGAATCATATAAATTTAATATGGTTAAAAATGATAAAAAAAAGTAACGTTATTTGAACTCACTACTTTATTAATTAAAAAGTAATGTAAAGTGATAAAAATAATCTTAGGTAACGCAAATGTAATTAAAATAAAAATATTTGAAGTAACGAGTACGTAATTTCATTACTTTTTAAAAGTAATTTATCCAACACTGCCAATAGGTTGTTGTCAGTCATGTATTGGTAATTTTTTTCAAGTGTATACGCTTGGTACATAAGCTCAAAAAAAAAATTCCAACAAAACTTAAAATTAACTTATGGTGGGTCCGTGGAGTATACCACCGCGTCTTTATATGGCAATTTATTTATCTAGCCCCCCCCCCCAGAAATAGGATTTTAGACATATTTAGGCCATCTATCAGGATCAGATGGATTTAGATACAGTGCTTTGAAAGTTTCTTTAAAAAAGGAACTAGTTCACGTTTAAGTTCCTCTTCTTAAAAAGGAACTAGATCCTTTACCTTTGCTGTCTTGAATGAAGGAACTAGTTCCTTTCCTTGTTCCTTTTTAATGTGACGTAAATTAAAATAAAAAAAAATAGGTAGGTACATCGTATACATGTTTACATTATAATTGTTTTAATTTTAAAATTTTAAACAAAACACATTGGTATTTATACATTTAGTAATAGTTTTAACTTATATAATTAATAAACTGTATAAATAAACCGCCGCGACAGAAATACAGAATTTATATTTTGTAAACATTATCAATAATATTGTATACAGGTTTATTTTTATACCTCTTCATATTAGTTACTACATTTTAATAGAAGCTAGACATTTATTTTATTTTATTTAAAAATAAATAAACGAAGAAAGGAACGAAAAAAATCGTTCATGTTCCGTTAAAAAGTGAACGAAATTCCAGTACTTTCCTAAACATGAAAAAGGAACTACGTTCCCGATAACTAGTTTATTAAAAAAAAAATTATCTAATACATCTTTCTAACGATTATTATTATAAGACAATTGGTAATTTAATAAAAATCTTTTTTACTAAGTATATCTGAATAGTAATACATATAGTTATGTATATTACATAATTTCATAAATATAAAATATTTGACTGACTATAGAATCTGGGAATCCTTATCAATGTCGCTATTTTCTACCTATTTTCTACCTATTTGTTGCATAGCTCGATTACATTTTAGGAGTATAATAATAATTGTCGTTTGTTTGTTCTTAAAATTTAATTTTTTATATAATAAATACAGTTTAACATACATTATATTAAAATTAATTTATTATTATACATTTTCACTATTATATCTAATTAATCTATGTGGTGTGTGCACACCTGCACACCCAGGCACGAGCCGCCACTGTATTTACGTATATTGTATACGTACTAAAAAATAAAAATAACATCTGTGACAGTCTTTAAAAGTACCTACCTACTTTGCAGTCTGCAGTGCTCTGCAGACTCTACACAGAGAGTGCCACAGACGCACAGTAAATTGAGAACTGAGAATTGGAAAATAAAATGATAATATTATAATAGTATTCAATCAATGTACGAATGTGCGAAACAACTAATATAGGTAACTATAATATTACAAGAATAGGTATACCAATACGAGTCACCTGCACTTATTTAAAGATAATAAAATAATATATTAATATTATATATAATAGGGGCGTTATATAATTAAGCTTGAATCTAATATGCAATAAGCAGATAAACTATATACATTATACACCTTAAACACATAAAAACATTTCCTCCCCCAAAACTATGACCAACCAATATAAATTCGTACTTGGTACATACCATGATTGAAATATTAACCATGGTACATACGACATACCTACACTGTACACAATGTCAATTATATTATATATTATAAAATAATTTATTTTTAATTTATTATTTTTTTTTCTTAACGATTTGGGGTCTAACTACGAGCCTAAGGAGGGGCTAAAAAAGAAAACCTCATAGGGGGCTAAATAGAAGTACGAGGGGACTAAGCCCCCCTAGTTACGCCGATGTTTATTAATAATATAAAAGACTGTTATTTTTTGTTAAAATGTTTAACTTGTTATTAAATATCGATACTACTCATAACTTATTAATAAAAAAAAGACTGTAACTTTTTTTTTAAATGTTTAACTTGTGTAAATTTGCTATGTTGTACGTTTATAAGACGGAGACAACACGTCATGTGGGTACGACATTTTGTGGGTAGGTACTTCGATTTGAATATCGCTCCACAATGAAACGTTCTTCGTAACCAATCGTAACTGAATAAATTAATAATAAATTGTGAATAATATTCAATTTTGTGTAACAAAATTATGATAATAATATAATATTCATAGCTTAACAAATAATAATTATAACAATCATTTATATAATAATAACAATAATCAAAAGCATGAATAATGGTTTATTTTATGAATAAAGAATAATATTTTATTTTAAATAATTTTAACTGTGAATACAAAATAAAAGTTATTCTGAATACTTGAACTTGTGAATAAATTGATTATTCTGAATAAATTAATAATACATTGTGAATAATATTCAATTTTTGTGGAACAAAAATATGATAACAATATAATATTCATAGATTAGCAAATAATAACAATAACAATCATTTATATAATAATAATAATAATCATGACAATAATAATAATAATTATAGTAAATAATAACTAATTAATTTTAATTATGGTTTCCATACTGCAATTCATAATTTAAATTTGATTTTAATACCACTTTATATTCAAATAAATCATCAGACAATGTATTTGACTTGGGTAAATTTGTCATTGTCGCAAAAGAGAAAAGTCTCTACTGGAGCAGAAGATGCTACTGGAGTATTGTATCGAAGAAATATATTTTTCACAGTTGGATATGAGTTTAAGCATTCAAAATGTTGAAGTGGATCCTCAAAATACTTTAATACCTTGAACATACATTTAAAACAATATTTATATTAATATTTCAATTAAAACATTACAACATTTGATTTAATATACATACTTCAATCTCAGCAGACATGGATGTATCTGTTCTGTAATTTTCTGTTACTGGACCAAAGTCAAAAAAATCAGAGTGATCTTAAATTTTAACATTTTCTTCATTAGTTGAAGTTATAGATTCAGCAGTTACTGCTTTTTTAAATATTGCTAAAAGTTTATCACGAGACGATGACGTATGAATAAAATGTAATCACTTATTTTTGAACTTAGGATGTGAAAAAGTGGCAATAGCTGCATTATCAGCTTCAACTGTATTAAAACTTAAAATATTAGAAAATCTTCTTTCTATACTATCTAAAAGACTTTTTCGAATTAATTTACAATACACCAATTGTTCACTATTAATAACCATTAATAGTTGGTTTATTAAGCATAATAGTGTGGGCAAGACCATACCGTAGAATACACTTTTATCTCCTTGTAGCATGTCCAATGCTTGTGATAAAAGCATTTTCATTTTTTTGACAAATTTCTCAATGTAATTATGGTGAGAAACAGTAAATTAACACTGCTTTAAATGAGTGCTCTAATAAGTTCACTGGATTTTTCTTTTATTTTTTGAATTTGAGATGAAGAGTCAAATAGTGAATTCCATCTCGTCTCACCAGGTCTTGGTAGGGTATGTCCTAAAATTGACTGAATTATCTCTGTTCATTTTGGTCAACCTGCTCCATTCCATAGTGTATTATATTTTTCCATCACTTTAGTATGCATTTCATGGAGATGTTGTGATGATTTTACAGTTTTCATTATATCAGTGGTAGCACAGAGGCTCAATGTACGAGCACAACATCGAATATGCATATAAAGAATAATATTAGGTTCATCTTCTAAATCATAATTTTGAACACTATTAGCACTTGAATCGCTATCGCTTTCATCAGTATCATTACTATCGCTCATAGTTCTAAAATGTGACATTTTTACACCAAACACATCAAATGCTTTATCCATTTTACTGCCATTATCTGTAACCGTTGCAATTACCTACAAACAAATACATGTTCAAGCGTATTACAATCGTCTTAGGGTCATTGCACACTTAAAATTATATGTTATATAAATAACTAATTGCCCGACCTTCCTAGCCGGAAGAAATTATTTTTTTATTATTTAATTTAAAAACATTTTTTTATTGTTTTTTTATTAGCTTTCAATGTGTATATTATTAGCTCAACGATTATAAATAGAACAAAAAAAAGAAAAAAAAAGAAAGATATCGTTATCGGTGAATATGAAAATAATTGGTAATTAGGTAAACTATATATATATAATAATTATAATTATGAGAGGAAGCGCTTAGGCCAGAGACGTTCAAAACCGGTTTCCTTCGTCTCCATATTTTGATAGCCGTATTTGACAGTATTTCTTACTTTTTTCAACAATAGATGGCATTTTTGAATTGTTGGCTAAATATTCTCCCTTGTGACGGTTGCGTTGTTTTTTATAGTATATGTGAGATTTCAATGTTATTGTTATCAGTGCAGATTGATTTGAGAAAGTTAAGCCCTATCGTTAAACGTATAAAATCAACCCAACTCGTAACAAGATTTAAATATTTCAGCAGATGCTTTATTATTAGAGCAAGGATACGTTATTTTGTCTACTTTGCTAATCCTAGTCGGAGATAGATTTGGAAATCAGAAGAAGTGCAGATCAGTTTTTGACAGTGGATCGCAAGTGAATTTTATTTCTGGAAACTCAGCAAATAAATTACAGCTACAATTCAGAAGGCCATCGCTATCAGTGAGTTGAATTGGAAAAAGCCGCGTCCAAGCATTGTAATCCGCAAATTTGAATTCAGTCAAGATTAAAAAATAATAGAGTAAAACTAGTTTTCTAAGTTCTATCAAAAATTTTCGGAAAACTACCAACATGTCTAAATCTTTTACGAGGTTGGCAGATCCCAGAGGAATTGTTACTTGAGTTAGCAGATCTTTCTTTTTGCAATCCTGGTGCTGTAGACCTGTTAATAGGCGGAGGAGTATTTTTTGATGTAAAGACTTCTACAGTACAAAGACCATTAAATGTCAAAAATATATTTTCGAACTACAGTAATTTTGGAACTGGTCACTGATGAGCTGGGAATGGTTTGCTTAGCTGGACGTACAGTAGATCAAACGCTAGAAGAGAATTTTAGAGCCATGAGGAGTGAGGAGTCATGCTTTGGACGCTTATCCAAAGCTAACAAACTTTCCCAGGAAGAGGAAGAAACATTTCCGTAATACGTTTGAACGTGACCAAGAAGGGCGATTTGTAATACATTTGCTAATTATGGAAGAGTACAGAAATTTGGGAAATAGTTTAGCAATGGCCACTTCAAGATTTATCAACATCGAAAGAAGACTCCATCACATCACTTGCGAAAAGAGTACACTAATTTCACAACGGAGTATATAAACATGTGCCATATGCATGAAGTTATCGTAAAATATGGAGCATCACAGAATGCTTGTAATTTGCCAGATCACTCAGTCATAAAATCATCAAAAATAACTACTAAGAATAGAGTTGTTTTTGATGATTCGACTGAAACATCCACAGGTGCCTCTCTCAGAGACGTACTGAAGCGTGGTCTGACCATACAAAAACATTTTTTCCATTCTGACAAGATTTCGGAAAAATCAATATGTATTGACAGCCGACATTAAGAAAATTTACCGACAGATTATGGTTGCAGAGGATGATCGAACAAAGAAAAGGAGCTCCAAGATTTCGGAAGTCATCTTACGTGACTTTCACGTGGATAATCTGATACCGGGTGTGACATTGAGGAGGAATGCATACAATTATAGGCGGGCTTAGCCAGCATTATAAATTCAGTGAAGTTATAACTTTCGAAAGGTTAGGCAAAATTGAGATGATGCCATTTTTATACTAGATTTAGAAGACGGATATCATAAAATCCTCAAGACTGTGTAGGCAGCCAGTAAACAACCAATTCAGATTCAGCATCACAATCTCTGTAGATATGTCAAATCTTACTAAAAAAACTATTATCAGACTTAAATAAAGTATTTGATCCATTAGGATTTCTGGAACCAGTGCTCATCATAGGAAACTTATTTCTCCAACATCTATGGTAATTAAAAATAAACCGGAATGAAAAACTAGAAGTAGACATTAAAGAAAAGTGAAAAACTTAATACTCTGGATTGGAACCACAAAAAGGATTTACCATTCCCCACAAATGTAATGCTCATCCCAGTGACAAGGTAAAAGTACACGGATTTTCTAATGCATTGATGGAGGCATATGGAGCATGCATGTAAATACACAATCTAGTTCAAGCTAGTAAATGGAACTCACGTATTTTATGCTCAAAATCAAGAGTATTCCCATTGAAGGGGACATCTATCCCATGACTTGAAGTAAGTTGAGTTTTTCTTTTAGCGCAACTATTGGCAAAGGTTTCAGAACCAAGAGACATAAGCTGTGAAACAATTTACTTGTGGACTGATTCTACAATTGTTTTAGGATGACTCAATAGCCACTCCTTAAGATTTAAAACATTTGTAGATAATCGAGTGATTCAAATATTTTATCTAACTGTGGATCAATGATGGTATGTAAGTACTCATGATAATCCAGCTGATATCATATTGGACCATAGGTGCAGCAGAATTAAATAGAGCAGAAACATGGTCGAACGGACCCAAATAGTTGGATTAAAATAAATTAATTTGGCAGATTTACCCAAGTTAAGGGATGATGTGGAAGAACTACCTGAAATTTACATCATGAAACTGGTGTTAATAGCAAGCCAGTAGTTCATATGATTAACCAATATTCTGAATGGAAGGCTTCGAGGAATCACCTGGTTAAGAAGGTATACAAGGTACGCCAAAGGTGTAAAAAGTGCCAAAGATCAGATCTGAGAGAGGCTAGAATGATGGTGTTAGAATAGTTCAACAAGAATACTTTAGTAAAGATTTCATAGCACTGGAAAAGGGACAATAGTGCCAAAAATAGTAAGGTGCGGTGCCTAAATCCATTTATAAAAAAGGGATAGATACTCGTTTGCGGAAGATCCAAATCATTAACCTAAGAACAAAGTACAAATTCTGGCAAAAACCAACTTTTTAAGACATGTACAATTATTTGTGGAATCTCCGATTTTTTTGTCACGAATTTAAATATATAATCTAGCCATGCCCAGAATTGGTTGTGGATTAGACCAATTAGATTGGACCACAGTACTTCGGATGATCAAATACTTATTTCAAAACTCAGAAATTAATATACAGATATTCTCAAAAAACAGCGTTGTTGAACTAGATACATAGTAAATTATAAGGAAACATCATATAGCAGTATTGGTGCACACCGGGGAGTCAATCAGACAGTCAAGTGAATTCAAAACAATTTTGATTGGGAGGGGTTAAGTCAAGATTTCGCTGATTTCATAAACAAATGTGCATCCTGTTGAATGAATAAAACTTCGTCCCGTAACACCAAGCAACATATTATGGTTATCAGTCCCCCCTCATCTGAACCCTTTGAAAAAGTATTTATTTATGTGGATGGCCCATTCACTCGGACTTATAATGGAAATAATAATATGTCCAATGGTGCTGGTCGAACAACGATCAGGTCTATTATGTCTTCTCCAGGAACTTACTCACATTTTTAGTACCAGCCTAGACTTAACCAGCTATATATGTGCCGTTTTACCGTGTCTGAAGATGTACCTTTCAAGATTCGTTCAAAAATTCCAGGGGGTGCAAGTGCACCACTTTGAACCTCCGAGATTACGCCTATGCTCGCCGCATCAACAAAGTTATCCTACAGATGCACGTCTCGTCTCCACCTCTCCATGAATTACTTGCACGTTTTGGCTGAAACTCCATATTCTCCAGTGTCAATTTTACTGCAGGATACTTACACCACGAGGTTCGTAAATATAATAGCATTTGTCTACTATGGTCGGAAATATCAATTCACTGTCGGCCCTTTCGGTTTGAACATCTCCAATACTGCGTCCGGTTACGCCCTCGAATCTGTCCTTAATGTATCGCTTCTAGACTGTGAAGACAAGATGAATGATCTGATGATGAATGTGTATATCTACATCTACGATCTACTAGTATCATCCTCCAGTTTCGACGAACACCTCCAACGCCTCCGTATTCTATTCGGGAAAATCGACATATCTGGCATGACGCTGAAGCTCACCAAGTGCGAATTCGTTAAAGGGTTTCTGGGCCATATTATTAGTTCGTCCGGAATGTCCACGGACCCCAAGAAGCTCATGTCCATCCGCTGCTATCCGCAGCCATCCGCCACGTATTAAAAAAGAATTGCAGTCGTTCATTTTTTTCTGTATTTTCTACTGGAAGTTCGCCGACCGTCACGCTTCGTTAATTGCTCCTTTGATCAATCTCATTAAGCAAGGTGTAGAGGTTTGGAGAAGAAGAGCTCAAAATATTTGACCATGTGAAGCAATCGTTTACCGAACAGTACCTCTCACACCCCTTGTGGGATCAGGTGTTTTATTTGCTGACCGATGCCAGTACACTCGGGTTGGAAGCCGAGCTGTTCCAACTTACGTCTGACGGAGAACGCCAAACGATTATGTTCGCCAGCCTAACCCTGAACTCCGGGGAACGGAATTACTCCATTACCTAGTTAGAACTCTTTTCGGTGGTTTTCGCTTGTGAAAAGTTACACGTATTTATTCTGGGATATCCTATTCATGTGCTCACGGACCAACAAGCTTTGACTTTCCTTTTCCAGTGCCGTCTGAGGAATGAGCGTCATCCTCGTTGTACACTACTTTTGCAACAATTTGACTTGAGGATCGCTTATATTACCGGGTCTGATAATATCCTGGACACATTATCGCGAAACCAAGTAGGAAGGAATGAAGAGGTATCCAGGTAACTAAGTGGTCCCAGTATTCTACTAACCACTCCTATAAGTGTTCGTAGAGAACGTGATCGACAACTACCGTGTTTCCAAGCTATCTTCTCCTCTCAAAAGACGACCCACCATTAAAGATGATTATCGATCTCCTTAACGGAGGCAGTCCAGAGGCATGGCCACAAAGTCAGTACAGTAGTAGCCTTGTTGAAGGTGTTCTTTTCTATCGTCGGCACGCAAGCAGCGACCAGTGGTTAGTCTGTGCCCCAAACCATCGAATCGACAAACTCATCGTACATCACCACTTTGGACATGTAGGGCCAAGAAATGTATTCTAACTATTCTAGATTTCAGTTTTTTCAATCAAGTCCAGACCTGTGTATATTCGGTAATACGAGCGTGTGATCTATGTCAACGAACCAAGGTGTCTGTTCGGTCACTACTCATTATACCTAAATTATTATTATCGGTTGTACTGTTATCGGTGACTCGACCGGGACACCGGATCGAAAAACTATTGTAAGTCAGTCGACATAGTATCGCGCAACCGAGTGCACGTCGTTCGACCCTCTAAGATATTTGTATTATTAATTGTAATTTCAAGACATGTTTGCGTCAGCTAAATAAATTTATACCCAAAATAAAAAGAATCAAGTCTAGTAATTATTTTTATGAGTACCTACCCAAACCACGTAACATGAAATAAAAACATGGTCCTTCGGCCGGGATTATTTAGTTGATGCAAAATAACATTATATAATATCGCAGTTTAATTCATAAGAGCGTCTAGTGCTCATCGCGTAAATCGATCGTCCAGTGATTTTAAACGCGAAATCCAAAGTGCGTGTGCAATACTTCATTATAGAGAAGTACAAGGAAGAACTTCGTCAAGGAAGAACTTCGTCAAGATAGAACTTCGTCAAGGTCATCGAAGGCAGGTAAGCGAGTTGTTAATGGCACATAGTCTATAAGTTAGTGTTTCGGGGTTTATTTCCTTTTCCCGTTTACCTATTCCTAATATTGACATTATATATAAGCGTATATAAGTATAGCCAGTGGAAAGTGCGTGGTAGAATTAGACAGCGCATAGAATAGCGACGCAGTACACACTACAACATAGATAATACAATGAGTGAGCTGGCGAACCTTATCTTACGCCGGGGCCAGCTAAAAGGCCAATTAACTCGCACGGCAAATTACATCCACGATAATAAAGGTAGTCCAGATATCGATCAAATTACGGTAAGATTGGAAAAGACCACAGAAGCATGGCATGATTTTCAACAAGTTCAGGCGCAAATTGAAGAAGAAGAAACCGAGATAACTAATGAGAGCGAGAAATACCGTAGCGAGTTCGAGGAGTTGTATTATGATAACGTAGCTAAATGCAATAAAATAATTAGAGCCGCGTCGCCAGGCGTTAATTCAAATCCGTCTAATCGGACTTCGAACGAATCCAGCAACGACGAAGCAAATGGTCATGCAAGCCTACAGCCCGTACAGTCGGCAATCAAGTTAGCTGCTTTCGAGATACCAAGGTTTACAGGAGTGTATACAGAGTGGGCTGCATTCTACGATATATATATGGCGTTAATACACGAAAATAAATCGATGAGCGACATTCAAAAATTTTTTTATTTACGATCGTGTCTCAGTGGAGATGCGGAAAAGGTTATACATTGTCTGCAAACTACGGCGGAAAATTATCAAGTAGCATGGACAAGTTTAATCAGGAGGTACGACAACAAAAGGGTGTTGATCCAGGTACGCGTGAAAGCGTTATTTGATCTAGAGCCACTGAAAAAAGAGTCGGCAGTACATTTGCGTTCGCTAATTGACGCGGTGTCCGGTCATTTAAAAGCGCTTGAGTCGTTAGGACAAACTCCGGACAGTTGGAGCGCATTGTTATCTCATTTAATAACGTCAAAACTGGATGCAAACACGAGACGAGCATGGGAAAGCGAAGCGACCAAGATGGAAGATTTCAGAGTGCCAATACTAATAGACTTTTTAAAATCACGTTTTCGAATTTTGGAGGCGATAGAATCAAATAAAAACATGAATACGCAGGTACCAACAGACATTCCAAAGTTCAAGAAATCAGGGGACAGGTCTTCATCATTTACAACTACCACATCTTTCAGATGTTATAATTGCAATGGCTCACACTCAATTTATAAATGTACCAAATTTCTAGCACTCACAATACTAGAGAGAATAAAAAGAATTAATGACTTAAAATTATGTAACATATGCTTACGCGCACACTCCGACAAATGTAAGTCACGTAATTGTCCGAAATGCGCGCGTCCACATAATGGTTTGTTGCATTCGTCGCGCACTAACAATAACAATATGCGTACGGGCGGTGCGGGGAACAGCGGCGAATCGTCCAACACCACTCCACCTGCGGAGAACGATAGAAATGATATCGCTAATGAGGCAATGATTAATAGCGCACCCGCATCGGTAAATGCTCATGCACGTCAAAATAGTGAAGTAGGTCAGGTATTGTTATCGACGGCCGAGATTCTCGTATTCGACAGTCAATATAAACCGGTTTTGTGCCGTGCGTTACTGGATAGTGGATCGCAGCACAATTTTATGACCGAGTCATTGACCCGGCGTTTAAATTTAAACCGAATAAAGTCATTGTGTTCAATAATCGGCATTAATGATGCATCGCATACGTCAACGTACAAAGTAACAACTATTATTAAATCGCGTATATACGACTATTCATTAAATTTGGAATTTTTCGCACTTCCCAATTTAACGAGCAAGTTACCGTTGATGCCGTTCAATCTGACAGAACTGAAGGTCCCGGTGGATATAAGCTTGGCGGATCCATCTTTCCACGTGCCTAAAAAGGTAGATATCACTTTAGGCGCCGAAATATATTTTGAATTACTAACTAAAGAACAAATTCAGACAGTTTCACGGGGGCCAATTTTCCAGGGCACTCGTTTAGGTTGGGTTATCGCGGGACCCATCCCTTCGCCAACAAATCAAACAGAAAATTCAACATTTTCATTATGTACGAGCGTAATGTCCGAATTCGCAAGTATAGAAAATCAAATTGCCGAATTTTGGCGCTTAGAGGAGGTAAAGAATTGCAACGTATACACACTAGAGGAAAAAAGGTGTAAACAACATTTCGAGTCAAATGTAAAGCGTGGTGAAGACGGGCGTTTTACAGTAGGTCTACCTTTTCGTGACAATGCTCCTAGATTAGGAAAATCGTATGACGTAGCCCTTCGCAGAATGTTATCGTTAGAACGACGATTTCAAACCGATACCAAGCTCAAAGAAGAATATAGCAAATTTATGAAAGAGTACTCCGAACTTGGACACATGGAAATTACGAAAAACACGATTCCAGATGATAAAAGTTATTATTTACCGCACCATGCAGTTCGCAAAGAAAGCAGTACTAGTACCAAACTGCGCGTGGTCTTCGATGCGTCGGCGAGAACAAGTACTAACGTAAGTCTAAATGATGTGCTTCTAAAGGGACCCACCGTACAAGAGGATTTGGTCTCTATAATGACGCGATTTCGTATACACAAATACGTATTCACAGCTGATATAAAAAAATGTACCGGCAGATTTGGGTGTCGGAAAGCCAACGTGATTTCCAGCGCATTTTGTGGCGTGAAGACCCAAGCCAGCCACTAAATATATATCGACTAAAAACTGTTACGTATGGCATAGTCACCGCTTTATACCTGGCAACGGCCTGTTTACAAAAATTATCCGAACAAGAGTCGTCAAAATTTCCCGAAGCCTGTCAGGCCCTAAGTCGTGATTTCTATGTAGACGATTTTCTCGGCGGAGCTATGTCAAAACAGTCTGCATTAAGATTACGCGATGACCTAATAACGATTTTGAGGGGCGCTGGTCTAGAGCTGTGTAAATGGTCGAGCAACGATCCCGACTTGTTGCTTGGTGTTGAAGCAGTACCAAGTACCAACAATGACTTAGATTTGCAGTATACGGAAAATGTTACAAAAATTTTGGGACTTTATTGGAATAAAGACATTGATGCATATCAATACAAAGTGTTAATGTACAATAACAAAACGCGCGATATTGTCCGAGATTGCCGCAATTTTCGATCCGCTTGGTTTAATAAGCCCTGTAATAATTTTTTTTAAAATCATAATGCAAAAAATATGGCAAACGCGGGTAGATTGGGATGCAACGTTACCAACAGAAATTGAAGGCGAGTGGCGCAAGTGCCGTGCAAATTTAATACATTTAAACACGTTAAAAATTACGCGTTCGCTCGTGGGTGATGGTGACATTGCGGATATACAATTACATGGGTTCTCGGACGCATCACTTACAGCATATGGCGCTTGTCTATATCTCCGAGTAAAAAACTATAATGGTGAGGTCATAACTAATTTAATTTGTTCGAAATCGCGTGTCGCACCATTAAAAACAATTTCATTGCCACGTCTAGAGCTATTAGCCGCCGTCCTACTAGTGCGGCTGGCGGCCAAGTACGCGACGAGTTTATCTATACCAATTGAGCACAAATATTTTTGGTCTGACTCTACCGTCGTTTTATCTTGGATATCGTCGGAATCGGCAAGATGGAAAACATTTGTTGCACACCGCATTGGCGAAATACATGAAACTACGTCGATTTCGCAGTGGCACCACGTCAGCACCAAGGATAACCCGGCAGATATAGTTTCGCGCGGCTGTTGTCCTACAAAAATCGGTGAATCAAATTTGTGGTGGAGGGGACCTATGTGGTTGCACAAAGATGTTTCTGATTGGCCGAAAGAAAATAATATCTATAGTAGAGCGGACGAAGTTTTATTAGAAGCGCGAACGGTATCTCACGTAATTACAGACAGGTATGATTTGTCGATCATAGAAAGATACTCATCTCTAACGAAACTAATACGCGTTACTGCATTTTGCCTACGATTTGTTAATAATGCGTCGAAGAAAGAAAATTTAATTGGTGCGCTTCAGGCAGATGAAATCGACAAGGCTGCGAATAGTATTATAAAGTTAGTGCAAGCTAGTAATTTTGCAGGTGAGATCAAGGACTTACGTAAATCAGGCCAAGTAAGCTCAAAAAGTGCATTGTTACGCCTGCATCCGTTTTTAGATAAAAATGATTTGATCAGGGTGGGCGGTCGCCTAGGAAATGCACTTACTCTAAATGAATCGCAGCAACATCCGATAATTTTGCCTGCGAAAAATGTTTTAACCAAATTAATATTTATACACGAACATGATAGATTAATGCATGGCGGCCCACAGGCTATATTATCCGCGGTTCGTCAAAAATACTGGCCACTTAACGGACGCAGTATTGCGCGTAGCGTTGTACATCGCTGCATAAAATGTTTTAAATATAGACCTGCTGTCGTACAGCCTATCATGGGTGATCTTCCCGAGGCTCGTGTACGGCCTACACGGGCATTCAAAAAGACAGGTGTAGATTTTGCGGGTCCATTTATGATCAAGTCCAGTTTAAGGCGGAACGCTCCATTGAATAAGGCATATGCTTGCTTATTTGTTTGTTTTATTACTAAGGCGGTGCACGTAGAATTAGTAGGCGACCTGACCACTCAAGCGTTCCTTAATGCGTTGCAGCGGTTCTGTGATAGACGCGGACTGTGCACAGACATTTATTCCGATAATGCAACGAATTTCGTGGGCGCCAACCGTCAACTCCAAGAATTGCAAGCACTTTTTCAATCTACTGAACATCAGGAGCGTATTCAAGACACATTATCCAAATCAAGTATTCAGTGGCATTTTATACCACCGAGGTCACCACATTTCGGCGGCCTTTGGGAAGCGGCTGTGAAGTCGCTGAAAGCTCATTTATATCGTACACTAGGCAATGCCTCACTCACCTTTGAAGAGTTGAACACTATATTAATACGTGTAGAGGCAATTTTAAATTCGCGACCTCTAACTCCTTTGTCCTCACATCCCTCCGATTTATCCGTTCTCACCCCCGGCCACTTTCTTATTGGTGACACATTAACTTCGCTACCCGATCGTGATGAGAGAGATGTCCCGACCAATCGGTTGTCGAGATGGCGACGAGTTGTGCAGTTCACGCAACAGTTATGGGCCCGTTGGACGAGGGATTATCTAACCCAACTCCAGGAAAGGACAAAATGGATGAGCTCCAGCGGCCCTAAACTCGGAGTTGGTACGGTCGTGCTCCTGCGCGACGACAATATGCCTCCGCTCCAATGGTCCATGGGCAGGGTAGTCGAGGTCATTCAAGGTTCCAATGGGCAAGTACGGGTGGCCAAGGTGCGAACTTGCAAAGGCTAATTTTCCCGGGCAGTTCGTTATTTATGTCCCCTTCCCTTCGAGGGCAATTCACCACTTGATCAACAGTAAAAAAAAAAAAAATGGAATTATTTAATATTTATAGTAATTATATGTCATGATTTATTTTTTTTTGCGTATCCACGCCTATTACATATGTATTTTTTATTTTTTATGCCAGGTATAAGCTGTTAATTGTATAACAATATATATGTTAATGTGCAGGATAATGTATCTGTATAATAACTATAAGAAAATTTTGAAACTTAATGTTCCAAGGTGGGCGGCATGTTCGGTCACTACTCATTATACCTATATTATTATTATCGGTTGTACTGTTATCGGTGACTCGACCGGGACACCGGATCGAAAAACTATTGTAAGTCAGTCGACATAGTATCGCGCAACCGAGTGCACGTCGTTCGACCCTCTAAGATATTTGTATTATTAATTGTAATTTCAAGACATGTTTGCGTCAGCTAAATAAATTTATACCCAAAATAAAAAAAATCAAGTCTAGTAATTATTTTCATGAGTACCTACCCAAACCACGTAACATGAAATAAAAACAGTGTCTAATCAACGCCAATAAGGTGAGCTGAAGTCTGTCCTTGCCAACATTCCCCTCGGTAGCGTTCTGGTTGATTTGTACGGTCCACTTCCTCAAGGTTGGAATCACGTACGATACGTTTTTGTGGTCTTAAATATTTTAATAAAGTCACTGCCGTTACTGTTACGAATATATCAACGATTTCATCTCCACGTAAGGTATTCCGAGGTGTGTAGTGTCAGATCACAGCACCCAGTTCACTAGCAAGGTCTGGCAGAACCACCTTCGGGAAAGAGGAATTCCTCCAACGCTGACTTCAGTATACCACCCTCAGTCTGAACGAATTATGAGGGAACTCGGTAGGAAGTTTCGAACTTACTGTAACCAAGATCATGCCGAGTGTCCAAGACACCTTGGATACGTTGAATGGGTACTGAACAACATTGTGCACGAAGCGACAGGGTATACGCCACAAGAATTGTTTCTCGCCTTCGAACGGTACAACTCATTTAGTGCTATAGTCTCTCTTTCGCTCAGGGTCGATTAAGTACATCGAGTTACTAATGTTATTAGTGAAATTCTCGAAGAAAAAAGTACAGCTGAAAGCAGAAGACTGAAGTCTCCTGTCTGAAATTATTCTACCTCTTGCCTTAACTTTACCTTCTAATCTAAAACTATCCAGACTTAGTGGATCAAATGCCTTCCGTTAAAAATTCATTTTCCCACCAAAGAAACGGCCCTCAAGTCCGCCAGTGACTTCAATACAAATAAACGTTCCTCCTCCGGCCCCTCTCCAACAATTTCAGATGTTCGTGATCGTACACTAGCTGAGCATTTAAAAATTCGTCGGACATATGCTGAACTTGAGGCTGGTAAGAAAAATGGTGAGCTTGGAGTGTCAGTCAGGTACAAAAATGGTATTCCTCGTATTATCGTCCAACAAGGTGATGGGAGTGCTTCTGCTCAAGACAATATAACAGCGTCTACCCTATTAAAAAACTAATTAGGACGGGGAGCCCGAGGATTGTCAACATGTAACTACCACCGTCCAAACTTGTATATTCTGAGCCTGCTTTAAATCTACTCTTAACTGCTATTTCGATTTTATTTACAAATTTTCTAATAATGTATCTGTCGATCCACCTACCCCTACCTTGCCACCCACTGTTGTAAATAGCAGACTGAACTTGTCTACTTTTAGCATATTTTACCAGAATGTACGACGTACGTGGTTAAAGGAATAAATTAACGAATCTTAAAGGTGTTATCCTTTTGTTCCACCCCTATGATGTCATTGTCCTTACTGAAACCTAGTTAAATCCTGATATCCTAAGCTCTGAGCTCGGACTCGTTAACTTTCATGTGTACATGTATGATAAGTGCCCTCTTACAAGCTCCCTCATTAGAGGTGGTGGGATTTTTATCGCTGTTCGCAACTCCATTAAATATTTTCCGATTCACGTAGATACTGTCCATGTTGAATAATTATTTGTGGTTTTATCGATAGGCCCTTTCAAACTATTGAAGGGTACTGTTTATCTACCACCCAGATTTATTTTGCCGTTGTATGAAGCCTACACTTCCACAGTTGAGATAGTACTATCCTCTGTCAACCCTGCGCATACTCTTCTATGTGGTGACTTTAACGTGCCACATATAAATTGGTCTAGTAGTGTCTCACGTTTAGGCCTTACAGCCTCTGGCAATCTATATGCAACGTCTTCCCACCAAGTTGACACTTTCTCCTTTCTTAACCTCTTTCAACTTAATCAGGTACATAACACACGGTGGCCTTCTTGACCTTGTGTTTTCGACTTCTGATAAGCCTTCTGTTACTCCAGCCCTTTCTCCACTTGTTAACCTTGACTCTTTTCATCCAAATTGGGTGTCGAATTTCCCATAGAGGTTTATGACCCTTAACCAGCCGTCCACTCGTTTTGTGATTTTAAATCTCGTAACTATACTGCTATGTCTCATTCCTTGGTTCGTTTGATTGGGAAGCTACCTTATCGCTACTAAGTCTTGAAGAATCTGCATTGTTATTTAATGACCACTACTCAACGTCATTGATAAATATGTCCCCTTAAAAGTCTTTTACCCTCTAAATTTCCATGTTGGGCTTCTCATTACCTCAAAAGCTTAATATTTAGTAAGAAGCAGGCCAAAAAAAAGTCAAGCAAACCAATTCTGTATAATTATGTATTAATCTTTATCACCTTGTTTCACAGAAAAAGTATGCAAAGAGAACTAAAATATATAAATGTAACAGTGTTATAGACAATGGATATAAATAAAATATTCTGGTTTCGCTCAAAATTTAAAATTATACTGTTTATTATAACATAAAAAGTTTTGGTATATGGTTAATATTAGTAACTAGTAAAGTTGTACTTATAAAATGACTAGAATTTAGAACAAAATAATAATATACAAGTTTTAAATTAGATTATAAATTAAAAACTTAAAATTAGTATGGTGTAAAAAGATAAAGAACAATAATTATAAGAACTAATTTAATTTATAAAAATTATATTTATACAAATAATATTTAGTAACAAAGAACTGTTATAAACTTATAACTTATAAGCATCATATCAAAAGAAACAACACCCGATATCTTAGATATACAAACTACACCACTTAAAATTGTTTTTTAATCAATAATAAACAGTGTACCTACTTTTAATAGAGATTTTAAATTAATAGTTGTGCATAAAATATTCAGATATTGTACCTACACATAACTTTATGAATTTCAAAAGTAATCAAAATAAAATCGTGCATAAAATGTAATCAAAGTTATCAATAAGCTAAGAAAATTTTCGTTACATTGTTCTAAATGTAGTGATCAATGACAGGGTTGATTATGTGCATATAATTTTGACTTGATTTTCTGAATTAAAACATGGTTAAATTATCCAATAAGTTAATATCATGGTTTACAGTTACTGTAATGTTTATGATTTATCCAGTAAATTATATACGTATACAAAATCATACCCATTTCAGTATATTTTTATGTGTACTTAAAATAAACAAAACTAATTAGTTGTGGAACTTTCACATTAATAAAGTAAAAACCAAGAAGTATTGCCGTGTTACTGTATTCCATATCGTTTTATTGATGATCATAATTTCCAAACAAAGGTTTTAGCTAATTTCAATTCTTTCTGTTCGAAATGTCGAGGTTAATGAGTTTTAAAGGACGATCTGATTTATAAGAATTATAGTGTATTTCCGTCTTAACTTCCTCGACTTTAACGATATTCGATGGTATTGGTGTGGAATTGTTGCTGCTATCACTAATAGTTTTAATTGTATTTGCGGAAACGAATTTCTTATTATTGGAATACGAACTTTTTGCATGGTGCCCTAGGTAGACACGCATTGTATTGGAGGAATAGTGGCAACAGTATATTATTAGACGTAAACTCTGAGTCGTAAGAGATTTTGGATGCATCGATAGTGGTCTCAAAAATTGGGGATGCTTTAATTGTTGTGAATACGTCAGTGCACTTTTCTGAGTTGGGAGATTTGGTGGTAATTGCATTGGTAATGGCAGACGATTCAGTGTTTATTTCAACTGAAGTTGTATCGTCAGTGACAGTTGTTGTGACAGCTGTAAATGAATCAGAGTCAATGGCTTCGGAAACTGCTGCATTTGTTGTGGTAGAGGCCACATTTGTAATCATAGAAGGCGTTAGTGTTATATAAGGTAGCAGATTCTTCTACAGCAGCGGCATCAGCGACGGTAGTATTTTCATTAATCGTGGAAGTGATTTCTGATTTGTCATAGTTGATGGTGACTGTGTCGGTAATGCCAAGGACTTCAGTGTTATTGGTGGCTGTGGTAGAGTCAGTGATGGATGTGGTGGAGTTAGCGACGGCAGTAGTTAAAACTGAGGTGTTGGTGGCTACAGGGGACATTTCGACAGTAGCTGGAACTTCACTATCTATGATTGCTTCAGCGATAGTGGTAAAAGCAGGTGATGTAGCTGAGACAATATCCATCGAAGCTTCAGTGGTTGTAATGGGCATAGTGATAGTAGAGGTGGTAGCAGCAGTAGTGATATCTGGGTAAAAAGTGATAGAAGAATTTTCCTGTAAATCGATGACTTGTTTTTTGCTATCACCGTTATCGTAATATTGAGATAGTTTATTGCCAAAGCTTTTGGGTAAATTGGATTTTTGCTTAGGTATATTGCAGGATTTAAAAGTTTTTTTGATTGGGATAAAGTGGGAATCTGAACTGTTTTCGTCACTTGGTACACATTGGTCACTCAAATAGTCACAATTTGTCAGGTCATTGTCGTCATCATCGGTACTTGATACCGTTTGATATTCTTCTTGTGCTGGAAGAATGTGTATGCTATGAGGAGGAGTGGTTTCAGTATAAGATGTTCGTTGACGGTATGTGGTTTTATTTTTTTCTACAGTTAAAGTCCCCAGATTACGGCATGTTTCCAAGTTAAGCAGATGGTTGATAAATGTCATCCCATTAGGATAAGGACTTTTGAGTTTTTCAAATAGTTGGATAATGTATGGTGTGGTAGACGACAATGTTGTTGGACCAGCTCGTTGGCGTCTCAACTCTGGAAACTCGGTACGCGGTGGCGTAGACTGTGAGTCAAACGTATTCTGATGCGATTGATTCGTTTGCAGTTGAGTTGGTTTTTTTATTGGTGAAACTGATTCCAGAGGATTCCCATTTTCTTTTAGCTTAGTACATTTTGAACTAAAGAATGTGCTTAAAACCGTTGGTCCAACTGGTGATTTGTTATCTAAAGGTGTGTAATTAGTAATTGTAGGCTTATTTGCTGGACTCATAGGTTTCTCAACTGGAATTACAGGTTTATCAATTTTAACTTTGATATTTTCAATTACTTGGTTCATGTCTGATGTGGTGGATGACAATATTGATGGACCATCTCGTTGGTGGCTCAACTCAGAAAACTCAGTAGGTGGTGACGTAGACTGTGAATCTAATGTATTCCGATGTGATTGATTCGTTTGCAGTTTAGTTGGTTTTCTTATTGGTGAAATTGATTCTGGAATTTTCTTATGTTTTTTTGGTATAGAACGTGTAGAATTGAAGTACGGCTTTAGAACTGGTAAGAAAACTATTGATTTCTTATACAAACATTTGTGATCAGCAATTGTAGGTTTATCAACTGGAACCTTGAGATTTTCAAATGGTTGTTTTTTTGGTACAGGCCATTTTGAACTAAAGATTGGTCTTAAAACCGGTGAGAAAACTTGTGACTTATTATACAAAGGTTTGTGAATAGGAATTGTAGGTTCATTAACTGGAGTTGTAGTTTTAACAACTTGAACTGATGGCTTATGAATTGGAATCGTAAGTTTATTTACAGGGGTCGTTGGTTTAATACCAGGAATTGTTGGTTCATGAACTGGAACTGTAGGTTTATGCTCCGACATAGTGTGTCTTATACAATCAGTAGTTACAGTCAGTTGGTTTACAATACGTTTTTTTGTTCTTGGTACGGACAAATGTTCATCGAGTAATGTATGTTGCCTCTTTTGCTTGAATTTTAAAACTTTTGGTTTTCCTGTTGCCACTGTTAATTTCACATCTTCGTTTGCCTTCACTAACGCCTCATTAATAGGTGTTTCTAATATTGGTTTTGTAATTGTTGTCAGATGCGCTTCTTCTGTTGCCAACGGTGTTTCTATCGTCGTCTTTATAACAGCTGTTAATGATTGCATTGGGGGTGCCACCAGTGTTAAATTTACCAACGGTGGTGGTGTTGTAATAGCGTCGAGTGCTGATCCTTTTGTTACTGATTTAGATGGTATAGAAGAATAATCAGTGAAAGCATTACTTATATTCTTCGGTAGAGATGTAACCATTAATGATTGATTTTCTTGATTCTTTTTTTCCATATTCATTTCATATTTTGCTAATTTAATACTTTCTAATTCTTTCGTTTTTAATTTAATATTGTTTATAATCCTATAAATAAATATAAAGTAATTACTCACAAGTTTTTAAATATTATATGGTTATATGTATTTTACCTCTAACCCATTCATTATTGAAATATATCTTATATTATGATAGTTCACATTGTAGAATATGTTAAAGGTACACATTAATACGTCTAACACATTATAGTGTATGATTATTAGTCATGTATCAATTTATATAGTTTACACAGTTGTAACTGACGAGATTTATCACTATAAAAGTGGGTGAATTTGTGAATGGAAACGAAATTTCGAAATAAGTTTCATTGACCAATAACTACATTCTAAGTATAACTATATTTTATGTTGTTGATGTATTAAATTGGATATATTATGAAGAAGCGAATTCAATTGATAACTTTTTCACTGAATAATAATTCTTGATAAGAAAAGTGATAAGACCAAAAATTATTTTACCGGCAAAAATGTTTATCAACTTTGTCATCATGGTTCTCATGAACGAAATGTGGTAACTCCAAAGAATTTTTTTAACCGTTGTGCGTGAATATTGAAAATTAATCATCGTAAGTATCAATTATATTTAATGAATTGCCCATTTTTATTAATCTTAACATTGTGTATGTCGGGTAAATATGAACATGCCAATTTTTTTCATATAATAAGGTTAATATTTTTTTTTTATTTTATAAGTTAATATAATTAAATTATTTAATATAAGAAACTTAAAGTCTTCATTAATTTAAAGGCTTAAAAGTTATGTAATTGGTTAAAAATAAAATACTTTTATTGCTATAAAATATGATTAAAATTTTGTTTTTTTTTTTATAATAAGGTTAAATATAGGCTGCAACTAAGTAACTTGAATTGTTTTTTTTTTTTAATTCCAAATTATGTTTCTATTCAACCTCATTAGAGTTGAATAACAATTTCTATAAAAACTAAATATCTGTTTTATTTCACCCATATCTGCAGGTGGATAGAAACATCACACATAAAAATAATTTTTAAATACAATTGTATAGTTAAAATTGCTATCTTGTAGTACTCGGTAAGACCCAAATGTTGAAGTACTTTAAAGCGTTGTGCAAAATTTAGATTCAGAGCTATAACAACTAAAAGGTGTAAACCTTTTACTCTGTCACCATCATCGGTGGCGGATTGGAAAATTAATATTTGGTGTCCCACCCCCTGCCCGTATTTGGGGAAAATACTATAGACAATAAACAAATTAAAAATACACTAGTTGTAATAATAGGCAAAAATTATTTCAACAAATTTTCTCAAAGTGTCCTTACGAGCTATAGACAGTTTTCTTATGAATACAATTTTTTTTTCAGAATTAAAACCAGACAACGTTAACAACTAACTTTAATTTTGTGAAATAAACAAATAAGTTGTCATACAATTCATTTAGCGAATTTTATATTGTTACTGAGATATTGACTTAAGTTTGTGCGTACGAGAGTGGCATTCATCGGTACCCTAATTCACACTACCTAATGAGTTACGACTAACACATAAAGCCTATCGATAACGAGATTAGAAGTTGCTGAGATAAATAAAAGCCATAGCGAGCCGTGAGGCCCCTTAATTAGTAAGTACACGGCCCATCGGGAACTTCCCGATTGCCCGATTCATCCGGATTGTCATATCCAAAAATGAAATCTTTGAACATTAGTTTTAGATTTTCATGTATGGTCATTATAATGGGTTATTTGATTTTGCTACCCATTAAATCATATTAACTATAAATATTTTTTAATAAATAACCGATGAATATGTGCATACATTTTTTTTTCATTTGATACTATAGGTAGAATTATTATCTAAAACTAAATCATTACCTTGTTTTAGTAGCGTCACAGTGCTTTTGTAAATCAGACGGGATTATTGTAGTTTTATCTCTTCGCAATAATATATAAATGTGACATGGTTTACAAATAAGAGTGCCATATTTTATTGTAGCAGGAATATTATCTTCATCAAGAATCAACTGATAATCATGCACTATGTCTTTCTCCAATTTATACTTTTGTAACGATCGATTTCCACACAACTGACATTGAGTTATTAACAGTAGCTAAATGAAAATAATAATAATTATTTATTATATTCCATATCAAATAATAGCGGCATAGGCGGAAATCCATTACAATTTCAGAGGGCTTCAATCCTACAAAACTAAAAAGGGAGGGCTTGACGTACTATGGGGGGGGGAGAGGCTAAGCCCCGCCAGTCAGCCCCCCACAATTTCCGCCAATGATGATGGGTGTCAAAAGATGAACTTTAATAAACATGCGCATTATATAGGACACAGTTGGTATAATAATATAATATTACTAATATCGTCTAATAACCTGATCATAATGTGCATTGCAAAACGAAGTTTTATTTAATATTTTTTCTTCATTTGTCTGGACTCTAAAATGAATCTAAAATTAACAAAAACATCAATAGATTAAAATATTATGTATAAATATTAAATACACATGAATGGTAAACATACTTGTTGTTATTGATATATTTAAGTTTCTTATTTAACTAAGACCGGAGTAAATTTGTATTTATTTTAATCACTAGGTATACAAAATATGTATTGTGGACTAGTGTAGGTATTACAGTTGTATGCATACATAAGTATACCAACCTAAAAATGTAAACTACCTTAACTTCGTAAATATTTGGATATAAACACATTTTTATATCTTAAATCAATTGTTATTATTTTATCAATATTAATCTACCTTAGAACTGGCTTACTTGGGGCAATCTGCTTAACTTGGGGCACAAATTTCGTTTTGGCTTATTGTCGTTATTACCTCTTTTTTATCACTATAAGATAATTTTTAAATCGGATAATTAATCAACACAATATTTGAAAAGTCCAGAACACATCAATGTCGTTGTAAGTTTAAAGGTATCTTAACTATAATATATTCATATTTAAAAAGTAGATCTTTACTATCAGCTTTAACAGCATAAAATCAACCACGATTTACTCATGTAATAATTGACTTGACGTAAATATTGTTAAGAAACATATTTATTCTCTAATTCTTTATTAGAGATGAAAAAAAAAAAATCATCATCGTATGTCAAATATTTTTAAAGTTATCAATGTGTTTTGTTTTAAGCGTAACTTGGGACATCATCTTTTTTTAATTCATCAGTTTTTGAATTTTTTATTCAATAAATTATGTTTCTTATCATACTGTAGTAGATGAACATAGCGTAATTTTTTTAATTTGACTTTATATTACCTAACTTACTTGTTTTAAGTTGAATACTCAAAATTACAATTTATAAAATCGCATTTTTAGTTGTATCTATTAATCTATTTACCTAATACATAGTTATAAATTATATACAATTTTAATGACACATTCCTATGTTAAATGTTGTAAGGAAACATTTTTTTCAAGTATTTTGCCCCAAGATAGACACAATAGGCTCAAAATGAGTTTTTCAACAAAATTAAATAGGTGTCCCAAGATACGCTCTTTCAAAGGTAACTTGAGACGGCCACAAAAAAAATCAGGAATTAAGTATACAAGTTTAAATTAAAATCCATATTAAAGTATAGACTACGAGACAACTTTTGATATGCTTTTTTTCCCATACAATAATTATTAATATATATAAATTGTCAAAGTTCAAAACTGCCCCAAGTAAGGCACTTCTAAGATACAAGCTCTTATTTTTATAATTTTTTTAATTCTATTTTATTAATGCACTGTAAATTATATTATATATGTACAGTGCTGGCGCTAGGTATTGCGGGGCCCTGGTCATAGGTAATAGCCTTTAGGTTCTCAGAGAGTAGTGAAATTTTACCTTTTTTTTAAATCAGTATTTTAAAAATAGTACTGTTTTTATATATAATATAGGTAAATAATTAAATTTAAATAATGCTCTGTCAATTCTTAATGAATCAAGATATTTTAATGAAACAAAAATCAAATTAAAGCTTATTTTTATCTTTGTTATTCACTTGCCCCATATATAATTTTATGTAATACTAATAGCAAAAACAATCCGATTTTGCACTTGCCTCATGAAAAGGGGCAAGTGTGACGTTTTAAAATTTAAAAAAAAAAATTATTCTTAGTTGAGTGATAATATAACTTTGTTGACTTTAAATTCCAATTATGTATATCTAGAGGTGTTACATTATGGAACAATAACAACTTTAAGTTAAAAACAAAAAAAATATTGTCAAATTCAAAATTAACTTTTCATTTTTGCGTCACACTTACGCTTACCCCACTTTACCTTACCTACTTGTGTAAACGGAGACAACACATTCGAGTGCGATTCCTCCTGATGAAACCTCGCTCAGCACAGAATTATTGGCGTAGCGTGAGTTTCAGTTAAACCTTTGAGTGGAAAATCGTAGGCTAATAAATTCATAAGGGCTGGTTATTTTATTGATTTACATTTATTTTAACAACTACATAAAATCATCAATTAAAAATAAATTAATTCATCAAAATGTTTGAATAAAATAATAAATTGTTTAATATCTGTAACGGGCTGTGACTACGTACATATTATAATAGTAATAATATATAAAATATTATATTATATTATGCTGTATTAAGTATAATACGCTTATAATATAATATATTATATTCAATAACAAATATAAATGCTGCAGAGGGCACGTAACCCGATAATAGTAATAATATAAGCGTCCGGGCGGCCACATCGATAAGAGTATAGAACGCGCGCATTATCCATATTCTAGGAAATACGAAAAAGCCGTAAATAACAAAAATAGATAACTTTGAAAACATATAATCCCAATTAACATTATTTCGTAGAGGACTCCGAAATGACGTCAGGTGTACGCAGCTATGTACCATTTTTATACTAAAAATGCCATAGGAGGGATCTAATAGGAAAACCGACGAAATACGTCGATGGACAAGTGTCCATCAGACGAACACCAGCCAAGACGA